AAAACCAACCGCAGCTGGATAATCTTGGGGCACACTCAGCCTCTGAGCCTGCTGGTCGCGAGAAAGGAAATGAGCTGGCCCCGCTAACGAGGGGTGCCGGGAAGAAGGGAGCTCCAACCAGACCGGCCTGCTCCATGCACATTTGATAGGACAGCACCAGCGATGCCCAACACCAGGTTTCCAGCCAGGGAGCATCCGAGAGTGCGCAGCTTCTGATGATAAAAGGCACCCGAGAGGGAAGGAGGGTGCGTGCGACCCCAGGAGAGGCGAGGCACCTGCCTTACACGCCCAGCAGGCCTTGAGGGGACACAGCTTCAGTGGGGAGAGAGGGTGGGGAGGGGGAGGAGGGGGAGGCAGCAGGCCCACCCCTGGAGCCTGCAGGGTAAGAGGAAGCACAGAGCCAAGGACTCCACCAACAGGAAGCTTCCCTTGCCCCCAGAAATTCCCTCCCCAAAGCAAGCCACAGATACAGAGGAAGGACTGCTGCCCCAGAGGTCTCTGTGCCGGCCCTCTCACAATGCCCACGGAGGCCCGCCCGTCCCCATCTTCACCTTCCTTACCTCCAATTTCTCACCTGGGACTCCTGGGGGAATTAAAGTGCTCCCAGAAGTCAGTAGTCCTCGCGTCTCACCCAGAACATCACCTCCCCTCAGAAGTGGGGATGCCAATCAGTGTTGCCCCTTGGCTCCCAGCCGGCGGCCTGGTGTGGGCAAACGAGCCAGCACCACGTCCTCGTCTGTGTGCTTGCTAAAGGCTGTTCGAGTCTACTGAACACAGACAGACATTTCATAATATCTGGTTCCTTTTCCTCGGCTCTGGCCAGGCCAAGTCCAGCTCAGGCTGGATGTGACCGCAGGCTGTCTGCAGGGAGTTGGATCCAGTGGCAGCACCAACAGCCATTTCTTTCCTAGAGTATGGATGACCTAAGGTCCACCAAGCAAAGCAGGAGCTGGAAGGGTGTCATGTGTCCCGCCCCATGAGTCTTACTGTGCATGAGCCAGGGCAGGTTTTCTGGACTGGACCCATGAGACCAGGGCCCTGGGCAGACCAAGGTGTGCCGAGGTGGAGATCTGGGGGTCTGGGACGGTGCACGTGGTGCACAGGAGAGTTCAGAGGTGGAAATGGGCTTGTTCTCTGTGAAGGTGAGCGATGAGGAAGAAGAGGAGGATCCCTGTCTTGTGTCGCTGTCACAGGAGGTACAGCTGGGGAGGCGAGAGACTGCACCCGGCGAAAGCAGGAGCTGCCCATGGAGGAGAGGCTCTTCACTGGGTGCATTTACGGGACAGAATGCATTGCTTTCCAATCTAAAGATTCTCCCCATTTCTGTGCATCTTTCTCTCTCCCTCTCAGCCCCTTGTACACACAGCACCTCCTACTTGAAAAGCTGAAAACTCAAGCCAAATGGGAGCCCTCGGAGTAGAGGCCAGAGGCCAGAGGTGGAACAGGTAAGATCGCCAAGGGTCTGCTTACACTCGGACCCGGCTACACCATCCCAAGCACAGCACACCCTAAACCGCCTGCTGGGGATTCTCTGAAAGGGAGCTGCAGACGTCGCAATGCCGGGGGTTGGCAGGAAGGACACAAGCTCCTGCCTGCTGGCCTGGCCCACCCCAGGGCCCCTGGGCACCGCCTGAGAGCCTGTGTTGTTCCAGCCCGAGCACCAACCTCAGCTCTGATTTACTGCTCAGCCCCTGGAGGGAGTGTGGCTGTGCAGCTCTGCCCTGAGCCCGTGCAGCTGCCAGCTCTCTGCCTCACAGACCGCGGGATCTGCTTGTCCACAGAAAAACAAACAGCCTCTGGGAGTTTGGGCACATCTTTCAGGAAAGCCACAAGGTTTGGTGAGAAGGGCCCTAGCCCACGGAGCATGGCGGAGCCAGGAACTGAACATACCATATCCACATGGTCCCAGGGAGCCCCGCTCAGGTCCTGATCACGAGACCAGCCCCCAGGACTCGTCTGCTTGCCATGGCTTTTCTCCAAGTCCCCAAGCTGTTTGACAAATTTCATCCCTGGGTCCACAAGGGAGGCGGGCAGGTCCCTGGGGGCTCCTGCCATTACCAGTCTGGTGCAGCTGTGGATAAAACTTGGGCCCAGAGCCAGGCTGCCTGGGTGGTGACCCCCACTCCACCCTGTCCTTCACCTGGGCCTCGATTCCCTCATCCAGACAATGGGGATCCTAACACCACCTCACTCATGGGGTGGACCACTCTTGCATTCATCAAGCAGGTCTTTCCTCTGCCAAGCACTGTTCCAGGCAGGAGAGATACGCCTGGAACAAGCCAGACAAAAGCCCTTCCCCTTGCAGTGGTGAGAAAAGAAAGTGACTTGTCACTCACACAAAATTCAACCATTCTAGTGAGCTCCCCGAGAGCTACAAGAGCCGTAGGAAGAGCACTGGAAACAGCCCGACAATGCTGCCCGCTCTGAGTACTGTCCCTGTTAGCATCCAGCGATGGCCAGGGGGCTGCCTCCAGGACTGGACCCTGAGAACAAACGCTAAGTTAGGTGGGGTGCGACCCCTCTGCCTGCTTCCGAGACTGAGGGAGTTACCAGAGGCTCCCATAGGCCCTCCTCCCTCGAAGCTGGCTGCGGTGTGCTGAGTTCTCCGGGACCCCTCTGCACATCCACGGCTGAATTAGCATTTTGTTCCAGCTCACAAGGGCACCAGTGTGGGGACACCACAGGCCAGATGGAATTTCAGAGACCCTGTCATTTGGTGGGAATTTTCTGTGGCTGCCTTATAGTCACAGCCACACATTTTGCTCTCAAGGCCTGGGAGTGGATGGAATTGGGGACAGGGGTAGGTTGGGGGGGTGGGGGTGGGGATTCCTGCTGAAAAAATAATAAAGCAAGTTTCTCTGCAGGCTGTTCCTGTCCAACCATCCAGAGATTTCAACTCTCGGGCTGCTCAGAGGCCAGGACAGGGGCAAGCAGGGGCTCTATATCTTCCAGATGTGCCCCTCCCTCCCTCTGGCCAAAGAGGGGACAATCAGGACAGCATCAGCCTCACTGTCCGCCTTCGGCCCAGCCCCGGCTCCAGGAGATCGCGTGGACAGGTTTAGACCTGGAGGGGAGTGTAGACCAAGATCCACAGGTCCATCTAGCCAGCAGATGTGTTTTGTTTGGCTTGAAGCATTTTAAACGCGTTTGAGCCAATGTTTAAAAAATCCAGGATGTTTCACACACGAATTCAAATTTCCACTTCCCCTGGAAAAGAGGAAGTTCTGGCCACACTTGGGGGCCGTGTCCCCACCCGGCTGGAGCAGAGCGGCTCCCCTCTCACATCAACATGGCGGTCTCTGCAGTTCACCTCTGTCCTTGTCTCCCAACACCAAGGACAAGGACAGTTGCCTTGAGGAAACAAAATACAGACAGATGTGTTTTCATTGTACCCAGCCCAATGCACTTACTGGAGCCAGCATCCGGCCCCGGGCATTTCAGCTTCTCTCTCCTGATCGAGAGCACCCCTGCCCTTAGCTCCAAGAGACTGTTTGCCTATAATTCAAATTCAGATTTGCACTGGCCACACTTCAAGTACTGAATAGCCACCTGGGAGGAGAGCCCACTGCTGACGGCATGGATGCAACGCTCCCAACTCAAGGGCTGGCCTTTGCTGCGGCAGTTAAGTTGCTGCTTGGGTCACCCGCATCCCATGTTTGAAGGCCTGGTTCAAGTCCAGGCTCCGCCTTCTAGTCCAGCTTCCTGCTAATGCACACCCTAAGTGGCAAGAGGTGATGGAGAAAGTAGCTAGGTCCCTGACTCCAATGTGACTGAGTTCCTGGCTTTTCGCTCCAGAGTTGCAGGCATTTGGTGAGTGAACCAGGGGATGGGAGACCTCTCTGTGTCTCTCCATCCTTCTATCTTTTAAATGCATAAATACAATAAATAAAAATAAAATTAAGGGGCAGGCATTTGGCACAGCAGCTAAACTGCCACTTGGGACACCCACAATGTAGTGCCTGAGTTCAAGTGCCAACTCCACTCCCCATTCCAGCTTCCTGCTAATGTATAGCATGTGTGGCAGCAGATGAGGGCTCAAGTACTTGGTGCGTGTCACCCACATGGGAGACCCAGATGGAGTTTCTGGCTTCTGAATTTCTCTTGTCTCAGCTCTGCTGTTGCAGGCATTTGGAGAATAAACCAAGGGATGGTTGGTTCTCTGTTTCTTTCTACCACTCTGCCTTTCAAATAAGTAAGTAAAAACAAATAAATAAAAAAATAAGTATTTTTACAAAGAGGACATTTGCATCATCTCAGAAAGTTCCACAGGACAACCCTGGAGAGACTGAAATACAAGGCATAGGAGGCTACCAACCAAGGATGCACCTGTGGCACCAGGCCTCTGCACCTGCCCTGTGCTGGCCACTGCTGGGGGCCAGAGGGAGCTGATGCTCCCTGAGGCTGCTGCCTTCCAGGAATTCACTATCTAATTAGGTAGAAAGCTGCAGCCAAAGACAAGAAACAGCAGGAAGGCCCCGGGGTATCCCCTGGGGTTCTCAGGGTCAGGAAGGCGGGGCAGGTCCCTGTGTCCATCACTCCCTGCGCACGCTCTACCCTGCATTCTTGGCCCCGTCCAAAGCAGACAATCGCATCAGAGACTTCCAGAAGAGTGGGGCCCCCTCAGCCCACTCACAGAGATGCTGCTTAGACAACCAGGGCTCAGCACCCCCAGTGTGTTTTGGAGGCTCCCTGAGCACGATGCCCAAGAAGAGTCCCGTTGGGTTCCAACCCACCCCACGATCTGTGTGCCCTGCCTACAGGCCTCCCCCAGGGCTGGCATCCCCTCAGACCTCTCCAAATGCAGGCCTGGCTCTCTGTCCCCACGCACCTGGGACCCAGACCCCCAGGGGCACGCTCTAGACAACAAACCACATCTGAGGATACTTGCTTCTGAATGAGAATTTCCAAAGACTAGCTATCAGCACGGAAGGGCTGAGTGTGTGAGAAGTCTCAGGCTGACGGAGTGGGAAAAGCGTCGCCCATGTGGTGACAGGACCCACCTTGACGTCCCTCATGTTGGCACGGCCCAAAGCTCCAGGTTCACTGATGAATTCACAGCAGTAGAGGTTCCAAATCTTCCGGCTACCAAAGACCCTCCGGCCACGCAGCGAGGCTGTGGATCCCTCTCAGGTCGCTAGTTTTAAAAAATACATAAAATGAAAGGTAAACAATAGCATTGAAATACTGTTTCCAGATAGTCGAAAAATCAGTCAGGGACACAATCATGCCTTGCTTCTTTTCACACATCAAGCAGCATCCTCTAATAAGACTCATCTGACACACTTTCAAAGGAGCGATGACCAGCGACTCTGTTTCAAAGTCTCCACTTCTACTGACTACTCTCTTTTTTTTTTTTTCCAAGATTTATTTATTTGAAAGGCAGAATTATAAAGAGAGAGAGAGGTCTTCCATCCACTAGTTCACTCCTCAGATGGCTGCAACGGACAGAGCTGGGCTGATCAGAAGCCAGGAGCCTCCTCCAGGTCTCCCACGTGGGTGCAGGGGCCCAAGCACTAAGGCCATCTTCTACTGCTTTTCCAGGCCATAGCAGAGAGCTGGATAGGAAGTAGAGCAGCCAGGACTCAAACCAGTACCCCATACTGGATGCAGGCACTGCAGGTGGTGGCTTTACCCGCTAAGCCACAGTGCCGGCCCCCTGACTTCTCTTGGTGACAAAATCACAGGTCTCACTAATACCACTTTGGTGGGTGCCTACATTATTAAAGAAATGCTGGCTTTCAATTAGGGTTTAGTGAAAATAAAGATGTGACTTGTCTTTGACCAAGGTAAGGGCTCCCTTGAGCCAGGACCCGTGAACAGAGCACCCTTATGCCCTTGTTCTGATTCGATTTCCCTCTAGGTCTCATCACAGGGGGCTCCACAGGGATGAAATAAAGGCAGCCATTATGGCAGGTACCCCACCCCTGCCAAGAAAACCCCTTCTGTGTGGAGCTGCATCCCAAGGCTTCCCATCACTGCTGCGGAGGGACCACCCACAGTGCATTGCTGCAGCCCCAGCTCCAACTCCTAGGAAGCGAGCACTGTGTTGTCCATGGCAGAAGCTGCATGACATTCGTCCTAGCAATGATGAGCACACAGCCCCACAAGGGGGCACAGTTACCCCCAAGGGAAACAGTTACAGGTTCACCAACCAGCTCAAGGCGGTGAACAGAGTTTGAATCCACTCCTGATGATCACTCAACCCCAAACTTTTTTTTATTTTATTTTTTGACAGGCAGAGTGGACAGTGAGAGAGAGATACAGAGAGAAAGGTCTTCCTTTGCCGTTGGTTCACCTTCCAATGGCCGCCGCAGCCGGCACACCGTGCTGATCCGATGGCAGGAGCCAGGTACTTCTCCTGGTCTCCCATGGGGTGCAGGGCCCAAGTACTTGGGCCATCCTCCACTGCATTCCCTGGCCACAGCAGAGAGCTGGCCTGGAAGAGGAGCAACCGGGACAGAATCCGGTGCCCCGACCGGGACTAGAACCCGGGGTACCGGCGCCACAAGGTAGAGGATTGGCCTAGTGAGCCGCAGTGCCGGCTTAACCCCAAACTTTAAAAGTGTACCAAGCAATGTTCTGTGACAGCTAAGACAGTCACCCTGCACCACTGCCAGGGACAAAAGTGTGTCCCTGAGGAAGCAGTGAAGTGACTTGGCAGGGTGTCACTGCATGGCCAGACATCCACATGCCCTTCCCCATGGGAGCAGGGGGACTGTGAACGGAGTCTCAAGAAGGAACCCCACAGCACCTTTGTAAGTGCGCTAGGACCTCGGGCACAGGAGAAGCGGGGGTGGTGGGGCTCGAGCCAGGGCCAGCATACAGTGGCAGAGTGCTGAAGGCCAGCCGGGAGCAGCGGCGCTGTCCAGCAGGCAGCCCTGCGGCAGCCAGGCCCTAAGCTTGGGTCCAGCCCCGCCGCCCCCGGGAAGGCACACACTGAGCCTCTGTGTGGACAGACAACAGAGCCCCTCTGTCCCAGAGAAAGAGGCCTGTGTGTCCCGCCCCCGTCCTCCCAGCACAGGGATGGATGTGGACTTGGCCCAATCACTGGCATCCCAGCCTCCGCCTCCACTGGGCTCAGGCATCCAGGTGGCCTGGCCCAAACCCCACCATGGCCCGGGCACAGCTTGAGCCTGGTTCTGTCACTTCCACCCCAACAGGCACCCTGCCTCAGAGGTGGCTTCTCTCTGTGCGTGTGCAAGTGTGCGGGTGTGTGTATTGCGGCTGGTGTGAGCATGCAACTGTGTGTGCACGAATGATGCAAGTGTGTGGCCACGTGACTGTGTGTGGATGATGTGAACAGCTGAGCCCAGCAAGGAATGAAGACTAGGAGGAGAGAGAGCCAGGAGCCCCGAGATGCCAGCCTGGTCTGGCCCCCATGTGGGCTGTGTCTACCCAGACAAATCCACAGGGGTCTTCAGGAGTACGCACAACTCCTCCTGTAGTGGGGAGGAAAAGAGAGACAGCTGACCCCATGATTGGCACACCTGTTCACTGCCCTACTTCCCTCATCCACAGGCCTGAGGCTCCTTAGGATCTGGGTCCAGCCCCTGGCCCTGCCACATCGCAACCATGAGACCCCCACCAAGCTCCTCTGAGCTCTAGGTTCCTTATTAACAAAGGTCACATGGAGAGGATTATACAACACACACCTGGCCCACATCTGGTACAGACATCACACCCGGGATGCAACCAATGCACCTGTCGTGAGTGGGCCCACCTCCCACCCCACCCCCCAATCTCCCAGACCGGGGGCTGCTGAGACGGCCTAGTGCTTGCTCTGTCTCATCCCCATGGTCACCTGGTGCCTGGCACAGAGCAGGAGCAGGCCTCTCTTATAACTAAACATCATTAATGTGTGTTCCCTTGGCCCCAGAGACAACCACCGCTGCTGGCCCCAAAGCAGCCAGGGAGCAGAACTCGGGAAAAGGTGGTGGGGAGTTCAGCTCTTAGGGCGCATGCACTGGGACCCCGAACACGTGGATCTCCCAGCAGGCGCCGCGTCTGCACTTCAGCTCTGTCCCCAGGAGCATGGCTCAGACTCTCCCACACAGAGATGTGAAAACAGGTGGGCTTGTCCACAATGAGCAGGTGTTGCTCTTATAACTGAAAAACCCAAAAGAGAGGGGCCGGCACCGTGGTGCAGCAAGCTAAGCTGCCGTCTGCAGCACCAGAATCCCGTATGAGTGCAGGTTCGAGGCCTGGCTGCTCCACTTCCGATCCAGCACTTTGCTAACGCACCTGGGAGACGGAGGAAGATGGTTCAAGTGCTCGGGCCCCAGTACCCATGCGGGAGACCTGGAAGAAGCTCCTGGTTCCTGGTTTTGGCTTGGTCTAGCCCTGGTCATTGCAGCCATTTGGGGAGTGAACCCACAGGTGGCAGCTCTCCCTCTCTCTGTAATTCTGACTCTCGAATAAATAAATAAATCTTTTTTAAAAATGTGAGAGATATGGGGCCGACGCTGTGGCGCAGTAGGTTAATCCTCCGCCTGCGGCACCGGCATCTCATATGGGTGCCAGTCCTAGTCCCAGCTGCTCCTCTTCTGGTCCAGCTCTTTGCTATGGCCTGGGAAAGCAGTAAAAGATGGCCCAAGTGCTTGGGCCGCTGCACCCACGTGGGAGACCGGGAAGAATCATCTGGCTCCTGGCTTCGGATTGGCACAGCTCCAGCCATTGCGGCCATTTGGGAAGTGAACCAATGGAAGGAAGACCTTTCTCTCTGTCTCTCCCTCTCACTGTCTGTAACTCTGCCTCTCAAATAAATACATAAAATCTTAAAAAAAAAAAAAAAGTGAGTGATAAAACAAGAGTCTCCACACTGTCAGGCCCAGAAGCAAAATGTTCTTCTGTAGGCCAGAAAAGACAGTGACAGTGTTTCTAGATGTTTGTATTCATTTATTTAAGAAGCAGAGAGAGAACTCCCATCCAGGGGCTGGGGCTGGGCCAGGCCAAAGCCGGGGGCTGGGAAATTAATCCAAGGCTCCCACACGAGTGGCAGGATTTCAGTGCCTTGAGCCATCAGCACTGCCTCCCAGGGTCTGCGTTAGCAAGAAGCTGGAGCTGGAATCCAGACCTAGTTCTTCAATATGGGACGCAGGCATGTTAATCACTAAAAGCCCATCCCAATGAGAGTACTTAAAAGAGCAAATTTCAAAAAAAAAAAAATCACATATCCTGAGCCCTAAAGGGGAAGTTGAAGTGGACAGAATGGAGGCCCAGAAGGAAGAGGGTGCAGGGGCCAGGAGACAGAAAGGGAGAGTGAGGGCACAGCGGGTCACACCTCCTCCCATGCTTTGCAGGAAAAACCCCTGCTCGTAGCCCAGCCCTCTCCCTCCCCAGCACTGCTCTCCACCCCACGCTCCCCACCAGCTGGTGATGGTTGTCACCTTCTCTGCAGGACTAGAGTTCATTCATTTCCATTGGAGAAAAGGACGACAGGAACCGGGGATCCTGCCCGTTAACAGGTAGAACCGTATTTGGGTCTCCCCTCCTTGACTCAAAGCTGTTGTCAAGCATTTTAAAAAGTACCAAAGTAACTTTTTATATCCTTAACAGCCTATCTTGAGAAAGTCCTAGCGACCCATGCACGGGACGTCACCTCCCAGCACTGGGGCCAACGCACTCTGTTCAGAAGCCACACCCGCAGCTGGAACGAAAAGCTCCCAGCAGCAGGAGGCCAGCACTGACACCCGGGGTGGCTCTGGGGCATGCAGGCAGTAACTGCCCCCCCACCCGGGGCCAGCTACTCCCAAGGGTGACACTGAGAAGGCCCAGCTCAGAAGCTCAGAACCACTTGTCCAGGGCAGACCGGGAGCCCCTGCCGCGTGACAGGCACCTGCCAGCCCCTGGCCCTGGAGTGCGGTGCCCAGGGTGGGAAGGGCCTCCACGGTGTGGTCTCATTTGTCTCTGTGCCTGGCATTCAAACATCTCTGCCCCTCATTCTCTGTGCTCCGTCCCCTTCGCTCTTCTACTCCCAGCCCCTCTGCTGTCTTTGATCAGTTCTTCGGCCGATGGCATTCCTGGAAGAAACACCTGACCAACTTGGATCCTACCCACAGAACCACAAACCCGCTGCCCCAGCCAAAATAGGATGACGTGAGTCCTCCAGGTGGTTCTGGAAGAGGCTGCTTGCTGCTTGCAAGCAAACACCCTTGAAAGCCAAACAAAAACTGCCCACAAGCAAACAGCATGTGACACAGCCCCTTCCCGCAGCCACTTAGCAGAAACTCAAGCCCACGGCAGGCAGCGAAGCCGGCTTCAGAGGCAGGGACATAGCAGCTGCAGCCCCTGCCCACCTCCCAGCACGGTGGGCAGCTGGGCCGGGACCCCAGGGCAAGAGGTGCCAGGTGGCGAAGCTGGCAGGCTGAAGGTATCAGGGACCACAAGCAAGGCAGCTCAGGTGATGTAAGTAACACTGCACCCGTTTGTCACTGCCATCATCTCTGTTTTACTTTAATTATAAAGGCAATGTGTATAAAGCCAACTCAGAGGACTGAGAAACAGGAACACTTTTATTGTTGCTTTTAAGACTATAACATCATGAGGCCGGTGCTGTGGTCTAGTAGGTCAAGCCTCTGCCTGCAGTGCCGGCATCCCATATGGGTGCCGGTTCCTGTCCCTGCTGCTCCTCTTCTGATCCAGCTCTCTGCTATGGCCTGGGAAAGCAGTGGAGGGTGGGCCAAGTGCTTGGATCCCTGCACCCACATGGAAGACCTAGAAGAAGCTCCTGGCTCCTGACTTCAGATTGGCCCAGCTCCAGCCATTGCGGCTATCTGGGGAGTGAACCAGCAGATGGAAGACCTTTCTCTCTGTCTCCCTCTCTCTGTCTGTGACTCTACCTCTCAAATAAATAAAATCTTTTTTTTTAAAAAAAAAGAATAGAACGTCATAATCTGTTTTATGGAACTCAAAGTATTAGCATCACTTTTATTAAGTTACTTGCACATCCTGATTGCTTGTAAGTGCTACTGGTTAAGGGACACCAAGGGAGAAATTAAAATGATGAGAAAAAGAAGAGGAGGAAGGGAGAGAGAGGCTAGCACCCCCAGATGGCAGAATAAGAAATCAGAGTTGCTCTTTTTTTTTTCCAAGTTTGTACAAGTTCAGTACAGATGCACTTTTAAAAATTGTATTTATTTGAAAAAAAAATTGGGGGGGAGGCGCATGTGCGCACACACGTGCACGCACACACACACACACACACACAGTTGGGGTGGGGAAGGGGGAAGGGAGGGGAACTCCCATTCGCTGATTCATTCCATAAATGCAGGCAATAGCTAGAGCTGGGCCAGGGTCAGGGCCAGGAGCCAAGAGCCAGGAGCACAATCCATGTCTCCCATGTGGGCTGCAGGAACTCAACCACCTGAACCACCACCTCTGATGGAATCGGGAACCAAACCCAGGTACTCCAACATGGGACCGGGGCATCTTGTCCTCCTGGGGGGGGGGGGGCACTCCCTGTCCGCTCCACTCCTCCCTCCCGTCTCCCTGCCACCCATCCCTCAAAACTGCCTTCTCCCATGCACATGCAATCGCACCTCTCCAGAACTCAGAAGCTCCCTCTGCCCCGGGGTCAATGTTACAAATGCCTAGCTGGGTGGGGAGCCCACCCCTCTTCCACTCTGGGAGCAGTTCTGGAACCACGAGCCTGGGCCCTGGTGATCAGACCAGGCAAGGGCAGCCCCAGGTGGCTCAGGGAAAACAGGTGCCCTCCAAGTCTACCTCTGCACCTTGGGAGGGGAGTGGAGGCCGGACTTCTCAGCCCTATTTGGGGGGGTGGATGTGGGAGGGGGTCTGTCAGCATCTTTGAGACCCTTACCGGCCCCTGAGTGTCCTCCGGGAGGCCTATTCCTATTCTGTCCCACCATCTGGGGGCCCAAGCCCTGCTTGGTCTGGTTGGGTCAGTGGCTTGTTCAGAAGCCTCTGGTCCAGTTCAGAGCCCCAGCTGTGTGTGCAGCCGGAGCCACAGGGAACAGGGACAGGATAGAGAGAGTGTCAGAGTCCTCAAAGGCACCAAGGGCCGGTTTCACGGTTCCCAGTTCTGATTCCAAAACCAGTTTAACTTCTTCTCTAGCTGAGCCCCAGGACTGCTGGGACTCACCGCAGGTGGGGTGCTGCACGGGGAGGAAGGGGGGCACCCCAGCACAGGAACTCAGGGGCCTGGGGCTGTTTGGGGATCCCAGGGACTTGAAGGAAAGACGCAACTATGTTAGGAGAAACCCAGCCTGCAGCAGGTGCCTGTCCCGGGTGTGTCTTTGCTTGCCTCAGCAACTTCCTCTGATCTTCTAGTTCCCTCCACTTTATTTGAATGAGAGGGAGGGGGAGGGGGAGGGGGAGGGGAGGGGGAGGGGAGGGGAGGGGGAGGGGAGGAGGGAGGGGGAGGAGGAGGAGGGAGGGGGAGGAGGAGGAGGGAGGGGGAGGGGAGGAGGGAGGGGGAGGAGGAGAGGGAGGGGGAGGGGAGGAGGGAGGGGGAGGAGGAGAGGGAGGGGGAGGGATCTTCTATTTGCTGTTCTCTCATCAAATGCCTTCAATCACCAGGACTAGCCCAGGCCAAAGCCACCAGCCAGAAACTCCATCCAAGTGTCCCTTGTGGGTGACCAGGGACCCAGGTACTTAAACCTTCACCTGCTGCCTCTCAAGATATTAGCCAGGAGCTGGATGGGCAGACAGGAGCCAGGGCTCACACCAGCACTCTGATTGGGATGTGGGCATCTCAGCCACTGTACCAAAGGCCCCTGTGAGGGCCAGGAAAAGGTCACTAGGACTGGGGAGGTCTCACACACACACACACCACACACACACACACACTCCACACATACACACTACATACACACACCACACACACATATACACCACACACTACACTCCATACCCACCACACACACCACACACACACACTCCACACACACACACTCCACACATACACACACCACACACACATATACACCACACACATCACACACACACCACACCACACCATACCGCACATACACACAGCTTCCCACCTGCCCCACTCTGAGCCCCAGCTCCTGCCGACCAGCGCTCCCCCAACAGGGAAGGTCTCTGCTCTCAGAGACCCCCGCACCCCACCCGGCAGCCTCAGGAACCCTTGTAAACTCCAGGCCCACAGCTGAGCTTCCCAGGAAGCGTGCAAGGGGCTCCAGGCGCGCGCTCCGTGCATTTGGGGGGGGGGGGGGGGCGGGAAGGGCCACACGCAGACAGAGCAGCCCCCACCGCCCCGGGGGCGGGAGGCCTTTTCCTGGGGGCCAGGGGAGTTTCAGCTAAGAACCTGGACCACACTCTCAAAGGGCTTATCTTTCCCGCCCGCCGAGGCCAGGTGAACGCTAACAAGTGTGAGGCGTCATTTTCTAAGGGCCGCAGAGGGCGAAGCTACCAGACGACGGACGACACGGACGCGTCTCTTTGTGAGGAGCAAGCGGACTTCGGAGGCAGCCTCGAGGGCCCCACGCACCGCTCCCCTCTGCCCGCCCCGTGGGTTGCAGGAGGTTCGCGCGGCGGGGTGCAGCCACGGGGCGCGGTCCCCGGCGAGAGCCCAGTGAAGCCCGTGCTCGCCGCGCAAGCTGACTGCCCCAGCCCCGGGGCAGACACGAGAGCCGCCGTCGCCCCCGGGCAACGTTCAGGCCGCAGGTCCAGCCCGGGAGCCCGCGCGGGCTCGGCACGGCCACCTGCCCAGGTACACGCCCCTCCCCCCAGCCCCGCGTCCCCTCCCGCGAGTCCTACCACGTCCCCCGCGGGGGCCGGCCCGGCTCCTCGGCGCGCTCCGCCGGCTCCAGGACTCCTCCCGCCGCCCCCGGGCCGCCCCCCGGCGCGGCGTGGCGTGGCGCCGGACCCGGCGTCCCGGGATGCGCGCGGCCACGCGGGGCTCCGGTTTCCCCGGACCGAAGGGCGTCTCCGCCGCCAGGGGGCCCCGTGCCTCGAGGCTCCGTGGCTCTGCAAATGCACGCTCGGCGTGCGCGCGGGGTTGGCAGGGGGCGCCTCCCCGGGGCCGCGAGGCTCCGGGAGAAGCTGGGAAGCTCGCAGAGTCCCCGCCGCTCGTCCCGGCCCAGCCTCTGCGGTCCCTCAAAAGCGCGGGCGGGGGGAGCGCCTTTCACAATAAAAGCCCTGACCGGGGCCCACCCGCCGCAGCCGCAGCCGCAGCCGCAGCCAGCAGGGGCCCAGGTGCTGCGGAGCAAGGGGTCCACCCTGCCCATCCGCCGGGTGCAGCGCCAAGGCCGGACGGCGAGGGGCGCGGGGGGCAGCGCCGGGCGCACGGCCACCATGCCGCCTCCAGGGCGTGCGGGTGCAGTGCGAGCTCGGGGCGACCCCGACGTAGGAGGGGGCAGGGGTCGCCCAAGCCGCCACGGCCTCTGCGAAGCCGCGGGAGGAGGCGTCTCTCCCTCACCCCTCTTTGCCTAAGGTCAGGTTTTTCTCCTTGAGAACTAATCACTGTTGAAGTCGCAGGAGTTAAGTGGCTGCTAGGAGTTGAGCGAGCGGCGGGCTTTGGGTGCGGTGACGGTCGGTGCCCAGTGTGTGATCCTCAGGGCAGTGAAGAGCCTGCAGGCGGCAGGTGGAGGCGGGTGGGGTGGGGGGGCACTCAGCACCAGGCTGCAAAGTCGCCCTTCACTCATTCGCTGGAGGGGAGCAGCCCCGGCCCGCGGTGCCTTGAAGCTGTCAGCGAGAGCAGCGCTTCCTTAGGGAGCGGAGATCCAGGGCCCCCTTTAAGGGTTGTAGGGGTTGGGGGTGGAGGGGGAGCAGAAGGAAGAAGATTCAGCCCTTAATGCGCCAGATTCTTTCTGTGCATTGTGGTATCACACGTGATCCTAAAAAGAAAAACAAAATCGTTTTAGAAATGAGGGGTCTGAGGGTGAGGATGTAGGAGAGACTTCCCTGCGATGGCCCGGGAAGCGCTGAGGGCCTGGGTCGCAGGAGGCTGCAGCTTGTCCCTGCGGGCGGGCGGGGGGAGGGGATTGGAGCCCTGGAGGAGAAACAGGCGAAGGCCGGGTGGTTGACGGAAGAAACCAGTCAGTGTTATCCGCCGAGGTTTCCGGAGCCTCCTTTTCTGAGACCCACACGAGATGTACATTTCTATGCCGGGTGACTCTATGCAAAAATATGAGTGCGTATAAATAAATAAAGGAACATCTTACCATACATGGCTTCCCGCGATGCTGCACGTGGATGCTTTCTCTCCTAGTCCATTGGGATTGTTTTTTAAATTTGTTTACATTTATTTATTTATTGAAAGGCAGAGAGACTGAGCCAGAGTTCTTCCTTCCTCTAGTTCACTCCCTCAGTGACCACAGCAGCGAGGGCTGGGCTGAGCAAACCTTCCGTGGGGGTGACAGGAGCTCAGGCACTACAGCCATCATCGGCTGCCTCCTAAGGTGCTCCCAGGCGGGAGGCTGGGTCACAAGGGAGGAGGGGCCGGCGCTGTGGCCCAGCAGGTTCAAGACCCCGCCTGGCTACTCCCTACTCTTCTTCCCATCCAACTCCCTGCTAACACGTCTGGGAGGACAGCAGGAAATGGCCCAAGTGCTTGGGCCCCTTTACATGCATGGGAGATTCGGAAGAAGCTCCTGGCTTCAGATCGGCTCAGCTCTGGCCATTGCAGCCATTTGGGGAGTGAGCCAGTGGATGAAAGACCTCTCTTTCTCTCTCTCGCTCTCTCTGCGCCTCTGCCTCTCTGTTAACTCTGCCTTTCAAATAACTAAATAAATCTTCTTTAAAAAAATGACTTGGGACTTGTTAGATACCAGGACATAACATCAGTCTGTCTTAATCACACGACCACAATTTTGAGGCGAGTTCCTTGAAAAGAGCCACTCATCGGAGCCTGTCACTTCTTTGCCCAGAGTCTCCCAGAGGCGCGCCCACGCCCTAGAGTAACATGCCACGGCTCGCAGGGACCGGCAGGTGTTTCTGTGCAACGGTCCTCCTTTCTGCTCTGCTATCATAAGCTCCAGACTCACTCCGGGACGCCCACTGCTTACCTGTTCTTGCAGCCACCAGGCACCACCACCGCCCAGGGCCTTGGCACCTACAGTTGCCTAATTTCCCCCAGGGTTTGCTCCCTCGTCTGCTTCAGGTCTCTGCTCCAGGGTCACGCTCTTGGTGACGCCTTCCTAAACCTTGCTATTAAAGATTGTGCAAGGCCTTTTTCCTTCAGTGCCAACTTGTGAATGTTTTTTTCCTGAGCTAGACAACTTCTTGGAAGCTATATTAAATGGCTTAAAATTTTGATAACCAATAAATCTCCAATCCAGAAAACAACACCCCTTTCAGGATTTTAGCTGATTGGTGATTGGCTGCTCCCATAGGCCTTGCCTGGCAGGTTGGTGCAAAAGATGAGTGCTTTATTATCTCCACCAGAGGGCGCTTCCAAATGCCTCAGGTGGGAGGCTAGCCCCCTGCACTAGTTCTAATATTTCCAGCTTGATCTAAGGACTTTTGGGGCTGCACATAAATGCACACCCCAGGAGGTGACCAGCGAGCCCACTCTTTTAATAGGGATCCATCTCTGGCTCTGTTTCACACTTAACCAAAATTTCCAAGGCTTGTGTATCTTCATTTTTGTAAGCACCAGAGTTAATGCTAAAGCACAGGCAGGCTTGCGATTGCTTTACCACTGTGATTCTGGAATCTTCCTCCTTCTGTCACTTCTTTGGCTCCAACTTTTGTCATCACTTAGTGCTCCCAGCAAAAACCCCAGCTGGTCTCCCCGGCTCTACTTGGGCTCCCTCTAATCCGGCCTACACATCACTACCGAAAAGTCTGCTCCTGCCCTGCCCCACGTCACTCCAGGGGTTAAACATGGATTCCTCAGCATGGCTGCCAGCATCCTGCCAGGCCTGACCTCTGATTACCTCCCCAGGCCTTCTGCAGCCCTTGCTTCACACGCCCCGGGTCCCACCTGCTCCCCTCCCCCACCACCCTCACCCTGAAGACCTAAGGAAGTGTCATCTCCTCCACCTCTCCCTCTCCAGAGCAAGGGGAAATGCTGGGCCTCCCATCTCTACCAGCCTGGCACCAAGCAGCTACTCAGTAAATGCATTTGAGTAAGGAATGCGATCACAGATGGATGCACTACTGAACCTCCCACTGGCAAAGCCTAGGTTCACAGTGGAGCCACTTCCCCTCATCTAACAATGGGGGACCATCCCCCTGCCCAGCCCACCCCCCTGGGTTCCTGCAACCAGACTGAGTTCAGATAAGTTATATCATTTGCAACATTGTGTCAAACTTTGATGAATGAAAAAGAAACTTCCTTTGTAGTGAGTATGCTACCATCCAGTTTATGATCTCCCTTTTTTTTTTTCACACACTGAGCCCCTGTTTTTTAGGGGGCAGCACCATATTCAGCCAAATATTTATTTATTCCTCTAATAACTTCCCTTGCAAAAATCAGCAAACAGAAATCACAAGAAGCTCTCAAAGGGGGCTACAGTCACTGAAACCAGTGCTCAGCAAGTATTGGCTCCCCTCCTCCCTGCAGTGAGCTCAGCATGCATCCCTGCGCCACTGGCAGGTTGGACTTGGCCATGGATGGACCATTACTGAGAGAGCAAACAGGCACCGTAAGTGCTTGTGTGGTGTTTCTTCTTTGCTCTCCGGTGATATACCACGTGCAAAACAAGCACAGAGGTAATTTGGTGCTGTGAAATTGAAGGTGGATCCTAAATACAATTTTTTTAAGATTTATTTATTTGAAAGGCAGAGTTACAGAGAGGCAGAGAGAGAGAGATCTTCCATCTGCTGGTTTGCTCCCCAAATGGCTACAATGGCCAAAGGGGGCCAATCTAAAGCCAGGAGCTTCTTCCAGGTCTCCCACATGGGTGCAGGCAGTCCAAGGTCTTGGACCATCTTCTGCTCCTTTCCCAGACGCATAAGCAAAGAGCTGGGTTGGTAGTGGAGTGGCCGGGACTCAAATCAGCCCCCATATGGGATGCCAGCACTAGAGGTGGCAGCTTTACCCACTATGCCACAGCACCAGCCCATGTTACAATTTTTAATAAAGAAATCAAGACAAGCCTATTGATGTTAGCTATCCTTTTCTGGTAGCAGTTTTTGGTGTTCTAAAGCAGCCTTTGTTTTGTTTTGTTTTAAAGAAATAGCACATAAATTTCTTTTATTATAATCTTTTCCTCCACTCTCATCTTCAGTATGTTTCCATTTTTAAGAATACTGTGGGGCTGGCGCTGTGGCACAGCAGGTTAAAGCCCTGGCCTGAAGCACCGGCATCCCATATGGGCACCAGTTCTAGTCCCAGCTGCTCCTCTTCCAATCCAGCTCTTTGCTATGGTCTGGGAAAGCAGCAGAAGATGGCCCAAGTCCTTGGGCCCCTGCACCTGCGTGGGAGACCTGGAAGAAGCTCCTGGCTCCTGATCGGCACAAGTTCTGGCCATTGCGGCCATCTGGGGAGTAAACCATTGGATCAAGACCTCTCTGTCTCTACCTCTATCTGTAACTCTTTCAAATAAATAAATCTTTAAAAAAAAAAAGAATATCATAATGGACTAAATGTTTGGGTCCCTCATGATGCATATGGCTCAAGTCCTACCCCCCGAGAAAGCTGTATGTGGAGCTTCTATGGGAGTGGCTAAGGCCAAATGAGTCCTGTGGGCAGGAGCCTGATTACATTTAGGAAATTCTAAGACATCAGAGAACTTGCTCATGTCCAACCCCACTCCCTGCTCCCCACCCACCGTGTATGCGACAAAGAAGGGCTATTGTGAGCATGTGTGGAGAAGGCAGCTGTCTGCGATCCAAGGGGAGAGCCTTGATGCCATTGCCAGACACCAGCCCTCTGCCAGTGTCATCTGCAACTCCCAGTCTCCAGACTCAGGAGAAGAGACTTCTGTTGTTACAAGGCATCCGGTCTATGTTTTTTTTTAATGACGTCCTTCTTGTCCCTCACATTGAAAATATGATGCTTTTATGGCACGGCAGCCTTTTAATATCTCTTCTATGGCTGACAATGATTGCTGTCGAAGGAGGTGCTTTCCATTTCTGTAAAGCCAGAAATCTCACAACTGCTGCTGCAGGTCATGAAAAAAATCAAAGGTGATCAAAACTTTGATTATAAAATCCTCCCCAAAATGGATAAGCAGATCACAGCACTTCTAGCAGCGCTGTGTATAAGACAGGCAGGTCACTTGGCAGGTACGGTCTTGTCTTTTGTTTGGTAAGAGGTTTATAGACCTGATGGAATTTGCCAACATTTGCACTGTCTGCTGACTAGGCAGCTTGATGAGCAAAGTCTAGGTTGTATTTGGACAAGATATCGACAATCTTTTCTGTTTTGCGGTTTCATTAAAATCTTAACAGAAATCAGGAAGAGGATTGGAACCTCCATTTTCCAAAGTACCTTGTAGTTCAGGTGACACGTTTCACTGCCATGGTGTGATGTAGCTAGCCCTCAGCGCACTGCAGAAGGCACACCCTTTACAAGATTTGACAGGATCAGCTTTGTTCTCCAAGGGGCCGACACATCCATTCTAAATTTCCTTTTGAGTTTGCCTAAAAACAAACAAAAGTTGCAACCTCTGTAATCAGGAACTATAACTTTAGTCAGTTTCATAGAGCAATTACAGGAACAGTAGCGTAGTGCCTGTTCATGCATGCGGCGTGCCTAAGCTAACTCCTGGCTTCTATCTTCTACTCCACACTGATGCTTTGTGTGAAAACAAGACTGAAAAAAACCAAAATCACTAAAGCGCTTTTGATTGATGGGGGGGGGGGGGTGGTATCTGTCTCCTCAAAGGTCGTGAGATTCATTCTCTGTATGCCCTGTCCCACATGCTCTTCTATACAACGTGCAGTCTGCTGGGTTTGGGTTGCCAACATCCCGAATCCAGTTGTTTTCATCCATCTGTCATGAAAATAAATCATGGAAGTTCTTTTTTCAGTGGTGCCTGTGTCACACTGGCAATGATATCATCGTCACTCTCACTCTCATCGTCTGGACTCAGAAAACATGGTCACATCCACAGCGTTAAAAATTAAAATTACACTATCTCAACACAAAGTCCAATTGCTAACCCCCACACACACTCAAAACAGACTGTTAATGTTCAAGACGACAGTAAACTGAAGCTGACACCTGTTCACATCACTTGAAGGGATACAATAAATGTCCCTGGTTGTGGGCCACACCCCACAGCTGCCAACATCAGCAAAGGAAAAATAAACAACAGCAATGACAAACGGCAGAGAACCTACACCTTAACCATTTGACACTAAAAACAGTGTGGCTTTCAGCCACTAATTTTGGGGCAGGAATGTGGGTTCCGTCCTTTCCCCCCAGTCTTCCCCACCTATCACTGAAAACTAGGACGTTCATGTCTCCCAGAGGGGTTTCCTGGGACCTGGGTCTTCCGGTGCTAACACGGAGGAAAACACTGAGCGAACCAGGACAGTCACACTAGTCTAAAGGACGACCAGGGTCTAAAGGACGCCCAGGGTCCGAGTTAAGAAAACTGGGTGGATTCAACTGTCAGTTCACTACATACCCTCAGTCCACCATGTACCAGGCATACAGCAAGTCTTTTCATGTATATTTAATTTTTAAGAAATATTTTCAACTGCACGATGAAGTAGCTATTACAGTCTCCATTTTACAGAAAGATACACTGAGGCTAAAAATCTAGCCCATATCACTTATAAACTTGGAGAAAGTGGAAAATGGAGCTTTGGCCTTGTTTCAGCTAGAGGGGAACCATATTGGAGTAAACCAAAGGCCAGAAGCGCTGGCAGACAATAGATTTAGATAAAGGTACAGGAAAGACAGCTAATGTTAGGGGGATGACTTAGGGCTCACCAGTCCCACCATCGCTCACTGCTTCCACCTGATTCCTTTTGTCCTGGAAGGTTTGGACCTTGTTTATTAAGAGGTGCATCCCATAGGCAGCTGTTTTTAACTTTTTCCCTAGTGGCAGGTCAAAGAAAATGCAGACCCCAAGGCACATGATGAGGGATGAGGCCACCATCTCACTTCACAACACGAAGATGGCTATAAGCAAGAGACGAATAGTGACTAGGATGGCCATAACCCAGAAGATGGACACTCGTTAGTGCTGGAGCAGATATGGAGAATCTGGACCCCTCACACGTGGCTAGGGATAGTAACATGGCTCAGCCACTTTAGAATAAATTTTGACATTCCTCAAAATGTTAAACCAGGAGTAGGAATGTGATCTAATAAGTATATATCTGGAAAACGTACCTATGAGAAACAAAAACAATGTCTGCATTAAAAGCTACTCAATAATGTTCAAAGTGCATTATTCATCATGCCTAAAGAGCAGAAACATCCCAAATGCCCATCAGCTGACAAAGAGATAAACAAACAACAGACATTATTCACACATAAAGATGAAGGTAGCCCTAATACATGTTAGAAAACAGATGAACCTTGAAGATATGCTGCTAAGTGATGGCCCATTGCAAAAGACCACATATTGTATGACTATTTATATAAAATATCCACAATAGACAAATTCCTTGAAACAAAGTATTGATTGATTAAACAGCTGGGTTGTAGTCAGGAGGAGGGGGAGATGGAGAGTAACTGCTAATGGATATGTGGTTTCTTTAGAGCAAGGGTAGGGAAGGTCTGCCCCAGCCCCTCACCCCTACCCTCCCCACCCCACTTACCCCTGCCACCACCTAAGTCCAATTCTGTAATCATTTGGTCTGGCCCTGCCAAAGCAATCGCAGGCAAGAATTAAAATTCAATACATCTACTGCAGGATAACTTTTAACTTGGTAATTTCGTATGGCCCATGAATGATGTTATAAATATCCAAATGGTCGCTGGCAGAAAAAAGCTTCCCCACCCCACTTTGGAGAGTGAAGACAAATGCCATTGAACTGTACACTTTAAATAGTTGCACTGTATGGTTTGTGAATTCTCCATAAAAGTTAAAATAAAGACATGAGAGCTTGCTTTGTACATCAAAGTAAGTAACTTTAATGAACTGGAAAACATTAAACCTACAGAAACCTGCAAGTCCAGAGATACAACGTGCCCTTGACATCATGTAAGGTAGCTCTTTAATCAATTCCTTACTTGGAAAACTGGTATTTAAAGATCAAGAATTAAGCCTTTGTTCTGTCTTCCCAGCAACGACGACTCTGGAGAAGTTTTAATTTTATTGCACGTGATATCATTTTAGCTAAGTAAGTAAATCTTCGTAGTTTTAAGATGTACCCTAAAGGGGAAGAAAATCATAATAACCATAAGCTACCTTAAGGTTTTTCAGTAAAAATATTTAATATATTATAAAAAGCAAAAATACATTTTTCTACTTGTTTTATTGCTTAATGGACAAGATAACACTGCACCAAAGCCTATCTAGGGGAAATTGGGAAAAAGTAACCACATATAACTAGCATCTAGAAAACTTGTGTGAAACTCGGAGGCAGGGTGTTGTATACTACAGTTCACAGGGAAGCTACGACAAACAGGCTGGTCAGAGCGAGATGTAGGATCCCGGTGTACCCCATGTTGCTGGCACAGAGAACACACATCTTTCATTTTGGTGAAATGAAGGCAAAGGAGGAGATGAAGCTGGAGCAGACCCCCTGCTACACCCACCTGTAAAGACCACTCTCCGGGCCCTCCTGTTTAGGGCTCCCTGTGGCCGGGTGAACCACGGCTCTTTCCCTTGCTCCAGCTGAGAGATCAGGGCTGGTTTGGAGATGGGCGGTGGTGCTTGAAGGGAAGAAAACAGAACATGGTCATGAGCTAAGTAACAAGGCTGACTCAAGGACGCGCAGGGGAGGGGAGGAGAGTGCCTCCCGGGTGGGCTATGCCAGAGGCACCCTGAAGAGGTACAGCAGGGATCCTGGGAAGAAGCCTTAGGACAGTGCTCCAAAGAGAGCCTGAAACACTCCAGGGGGCCAGTTTCTATTGAAAGGGGAACAACATGTATTCTTACGTCTTCTATTCTTTGTTAGAGGATGAAAATTTCCATCATGGGAAGCAGGCACTCAGCACCTACGAGCAACTCTCACAGGGAGACAAAAGGGCCGGGCTCTGTGAAGATAACTTGGAGACTCAAGGCTAGGCTGAGGGTACTAAGATGTAGTGTACCTAAGGCAGCTAGGAAACGGGAAGACCTTAGATGACAGCAACAGGAAAGCCCTTGAGGGGTCGCCAGCTTTCCATGCCTGGCAGCTCTGACGCTGCCATTTGCAGTCAGCTAATAATGAGCGAGCCCTTCAGCCCAAGGGCCCAGGCGTTGGTGAGCCGCTTACCCAGGGAAGCCACCATCCCATAGTTTTCCAGCATCACTTCCTTGTACAAGGCCCTCTGAGCAGGCAGCAGGCTGGCCCATTCCTTCTTCGTGAAGTACACAGCCACATCCTCAAAAGCCACTGATTCCTGAAACAACAAAGCCCCACTCTTCTGGACCTCGGGTCTTTAGTGATGGTCTAACGTATCAGTGACGGGCCTGGGAAGGGCGCCCACAATGACACCTATTCAGCACTGGGTCCTTCGTCTCCTTCCTTCTCTAAGACATGCAGGCCCACACAATCAGCTGCTCTTGGCCCTGCCAAGGCAACTGCAGGCAGGCCCTCACAGTCAAAGTTGATCATTTTTCTGGCTGAAAAGCCCATGAGAGTATTTCAGGCATGGAAAGCCAAGACACTCTGACAAAAAAAAAAAAAAAAAAAAAAAAAAAAAACACCTAAATGAAAGATCTCCACGAGTGAGATCCCAGTGGAAAGAACAGGTCTTCAAAGAAGGAGGTACCTTTCTCTGAAGGGAGGAGAGAACCTCCACTTTGACTATGACCTTGTCTAAACAAGATAGAGTCGGAGAACTCAAGGGGCTTCCATAGCCTTGGAAACTCATGACTGGTGCATAGGGAGACTACTGATGCCATAGACAGGAGTGTCAATTTGTAAAGTCAACAACAGGAGTCACTGTGCACTTACTCCTCATGTAGGATCTCTGTCCTTAGTGTGCTGTACATTGAGACTTAATGCTATAACGAGTACTCAAACAGTATATTTCACTTTGTGTTTCTATGGGGGTGCAAACTGTTGAAATCTTTACTTAATGTATACTAAACTGATCTTCTGTTAAAAAAAAAAAAGAAGAAATTAGCAATTCCCAACTTGACTCTCACTGGGATTAAACATGACAATAGGTCTGATCTGATTTCATCATCATTTAAAAAATCATCTAATATTTTTCACTTTATGTTTCTGTGCGGGAGCAAACTGTTGAAATCTTTACTTAATGTATGCTAAACTGATCTTCTGTATATAAAGAGAATTGAAAATGAATCCTCATGTGAATGGAAGGGGAGAGGGAATGGGAAAGGGGAGGGTTGCGGGTGGGAGGGACGTTATGGGGGGGAAGCCATTGTAATCCATAAGCCGTACTTTGGAAATTTATATTCATTAAATAAAGGTTAAAAAAAAAAAAGTTGATCATTTTGCATGGCCCACAAATGACATTATAAATATCCAGATGACCCTTGGCTGAAAAAAAAAAAATGATTCCTCACCCTTGAGAGGAGGAGGAGACAGAATTCAAGCAGCCAGCCAGTGACTTCTACCCCCACCCCACCTCCATGCAGAGGCAGCGAGGTTAGGGAAGGCTAGGAAAATGCTGCCTCTGTGGGAAACGTTAGCGTTTAGAACAACGTGTTACCTAAGGCTCACAACAGGCCGGAAGAGGCAGCTATTGGAAACGTGCAAGCCCGAGGGGAGGAGCTCTGCTCCGTATTTCAGAGACAAAACTCTAGAGTAAGTGGTCTTAACCTGGGCAATGAAATGAAGGGAAGCCATTAGCCAGGTGCCAAAGCAAGTTTTGTCTGTACCATTTTTATATATTTTTTTTCTTTTAAAAATATTTTGGCCGGCACCACAGCTCACTAGGCTAATCCTCCGCCTGCGGCGCTGGCACCCCGGGATTCTAGTCCCAGTTGGGGCGCCGGATTCTGTCCCAGTTGCCCCTCTTCCAGGCCAGCTCTCTGCTGTGGCCCAAGAAGGCAGTGGAGGATGGCCCAAGTGCTTGGGCCCTGCACCCACATGGGAGACGGGGAGGAAGCACCTGGCTCCTGGCTTCAGATCGGCGCAGCGTGCCTGCCGTAGCGACCATTTGGGGGGTGAACCAATGAAAGGAAGACCTTTCTCTCTGTCTCTCTCTCTCACTGTCTAACTTTGCCTGTCAAAAAAAAAAAAAATATATATATATATATATATTGGCCACAGATACTTGTGCTCTACATTGTCCCAAAGGCCTTTTTTTAAAAAAAAAGATTTATCTTATTGATTTGAAATAGAGTTACAGAGAGAGGTAGAGACAGAGAGAGAAAGAGGTCTTCCATCTGCTGGTTCACTCCCCAAATGGCTGCAATGACCGGAGCTGTGCCGATCCAAAGCCAGGAGCCTGGAGCTTCTTCCAGGTCTCTCCTGTGGGTGCAGGGGCCCAAGGACTTGGGCCATCCTCCATTGCTTTCCCAGGCGGATTAGCAGGGAGCTAGATTGGAAGTGGAGCAGCTGGGACTCGAACTGGAACCCGTATGGGATGCCGGTGCTGCAGGCTGGGACTTCAAACTGCTGCACCACAGCACTGGCCCCCCTTTTTAATATATTTTTAATTACCTTGAAAGAAAGCCTTCTATGTCCTATTATGTTGCAAAATTATTATACTTCTCCACAAGTGTCACAGGATATGGTTCAAAGAAAAGACAACTGAGCTAACAGAACTGATGAGGGCATTTAAAAGCAGGTGCAGATGTATATGGTCACCAATTTATGACAGAGCAGCCAGTATAATTCAGTAAAAGACAATAAAACCCCAATAAATGGTCCCAAGCCAACTGGACATCCATATGGGAGAGGGAGGCTTTGACCCTGAATCTAGGATAAATCACAGAAGTATGTAGAAAGCTTAAACAATAAATCTTCTAGAAGGAAACAAAAGAATATCTTCAGGACTTTTGAGTAAGAAACAACATCTTACACAAAACAAACATACTGGACTTCATTAAAAGCAAAAAAAAATCTCTTTATAAAAGGATATAATCAAGAGAGTGAAAAATTAAGCTACAGAATGGGGGAAGATATTTCATGTGTGTGTATGTGTGTGTGTGTGTATCTGACAAAGGACTTCTCTCTCTCTCTCTCTCTCTATATATATATATATATGACAAAGGAGTTTACCTTATCTATATCTATCTATATAGATATATATATATATATATATATATACTGATCCACAATAATTAACTAGCTACTACAAGTTGAGGGGCAGGCGAAGCACACAATAAAAAATGGAAAAAACATCTGAACAAAGACTTCCCATAAGGGGTCCATGTAGCAATAAAAACATGCAACGCCACTCAGCATCGCTGCGGACTAGAGAAAAGGACATTTTTTAAGCCCCAATGAGATACTATGAACAAATGACAAGTGTCAGCAAGGATCTGGCACAACTGTACATTGCAGATCAAAGTATCAACTGGAACAACTATTTTGGAAAATCGTCAGGTGGCATTTACTAAAACTAACCAAGTACATACTCTATGGCCTAGCAATCTCTCCTAGAGATATGGCTAAGAGAAATGAGTGCCCATATCCACCTGAGTACCCACTATATTCTTAGTCATAATAGTGAAAAGCTAGGGGAAAAAAGTCCACCTTCAGTAGAATAAATAAATAAAAGTGGTATAATCATATATGGAAAACTACTCAACAATGAAAAAGAACTACTGTATGAGCAACAACACAGGTGAAGTTCACAGACATAATTCAGAAAGAAGGCAGACACAAAAGAGTATATACTCAATGATTGCATTTATATGAAGTTAAAGAACTAAACTAATCTATGCTGAGAGATGTCAGAATAGTGGTTAACCTTTGGGGTTGTAGGGAAAGGCCTTCTGAGGTATTAACAATGTTCCATGTCTTTATTTAAGTGACGGTCATATAGATGTATACATTTCTAAAAGCAAGCTATACAGTATGAGAAATTTATATACATACACATTAAAGTGTGTTATATATGTTTCTGTAGAGGCATGCAGTAAATTTTTAAAAAATTCAGGGAAACGCTTATTATGAAAAATTGATGCACGGATGTTGAGAATAATCTGTACCCAAATAAACTTTTCTTTTAATTCCATTTTTCTACAAAATTTTTAAAGTGCCCTTATATATACACCTTTATATAGCAAGTACATAGAAACATATGTATAGACACACATGCCTATGTGTACACACACGCAGAAGAAACTCGGCTCACCGGGGACTCCGCTGGCAAGGACACAGCTGTCATTATCTGACCTGTTTCAGTTCTGTCTTGGAGAAAGTCTCAGGAGCTGAAAGTAAAGAAAGAAATATTAGTGACACTAAGTCTGCGGACCCTAACTCCCGCATGTGACCCCGACCCTGGGTGCAAGGCTCCGTGAACCATGTGGATATTGCTTGTATTCAGTAGCAGTTCTGTTCTCACAGATGAGATTGTAGGCATATTGGGGAAGGCAGAAAAGAAGGAGAGATCATCCCCAAAAATGTGTGATAAGCAGGTTGACTGAGAAAACTGTCATTTCAGAAACCCCAGGAAAATATAAACAAGAAGACAGAAAACTAGAGAAGACAGTGAACAGAACGTTATGGACTGTGAAGAAAGCTGAAATCCCAAGCAGTTAAGATGCCAGAACCCACACAGCACAGACAGGGATGAGATGGTTCAAGAAACCTGTCAGATACTGTCAGAGCTCAGCACTGTCTCTCCTCCTGTGCTACTTAATTTAGGACAGGACAGTTTCTATGACTCAAGTAACAAAGTCAGAATCTGAAAACAGTTTCCTGGATTGTTTTATTTCTCCCTACTATTTCCCCCCCAAACACACATAAAGATTATAAGCTAGCCATTGAATTCTATAATACTGCAGGCTATGGGTGAGGAGAAGAAAAACACTATCATGTTAAAGGAATTCATCAATTTCATCATATTCCAAGTTCCAAATATTTATAGTTTAGGGAAGCAAAAAATTCATTTCTAAACTCCTATTCTGGATAATTTGGTTCATCATACAGAAGTAGGCCTCTGCCATTCAAAAAGTGAAAAACACCAAGAGTTATCATTAAAAGCAACACCTGAATACAAACAGCCGCCTTCAAAGATAGTCAACAAATATACAAACAAACATAAAAGTGCATGTACTCACAGACTGTAATAAAAACAGCTTCCATTTAAACTCTGTTACCTGTGGCCTGCCATAAGTCTCAGGGAACAACTACAAACACGACAAAGGACTTCATGCAGTAGTCAACGCACTGCCCCTTTTTGTGGAAGTGTCCAGAAAACTTCCCTGTCCAGCAAGACAGGGGAAGCTGAAGCTATCAGAGAAAACAGGGCTATCAGGACAGCCTAGAAAACACATCTCGGAAGCTTCAGAGGTGCCAGTAAGGAGAAACAGCAGTTATAAGTGTAAACAGGGGGCCGCTGCCATGGCATAATAGGCTAAACCTCCATCAGTGGTGCCAGCATCCCATATGGGTGCCCATTCAAGTCCTGGCTGCTCCACTTCCAATCTAGCTCTCTGTTATGGCCTGGGAAAGCAGCAGAAGGTGGACCAAGTGCTCAGGCCCCTGTACATGCGTGGGAGATCCGGAAGAAGCTCCTGGCTCCTGGCTTCACATAGGTGCAGCTCCAGCCGTGGCAGCCATCTGGGGAGCAAACCAGCAGATGGAAGACCCCTCTCTGCCTCTGCCTCTGCCTCTAACACTATCTCTCAAATAATCTTTGAAGAAAAAAATAAGCGTAAACAGAATTTTAAGAAGGAAATACAACATAAGCCTACACAAGTAATGCTGCTGAATCACTGACAGTTTTTTTTTTATTTAAATATCTATTTTATTTACTTGAAACAGTTACAGAGAGAGGTAGAGACAGAGAGAGTCGTCTTCCATCCACTGGTTCACTCCCCAAATGGCCACAACAGCTGGAGCTGAGCTAATCCGAAGCCAGGAGCCAGGAGCCTCCTCTGGGTCTTCCATATGGGTGCAGGGACCCGAGGACTTGGCCCATCTTCTGCTGCTTTCCCAGATGCATTGGACACGAACTGGCACCCACATGGGATGCTGACACTGCATGCTGGGGCCTTAATCCACTGTGCCACAGCTACGGCCCCTCAACTGACAGTTTTTATTTATTTATTTATTTGATAGGTAAAGTTAAAGACAGTGTGAGGGTAAGACAGAGAAAGGTCTTCCGTCCGTTGATTCACTCCCCAACGGCCCAACAGCCGAAACTGCGCTGATCCAAAATCAGGAGCTTCTTCCCGGTCTCCCATGCGAGTTCAAGGGCGCAACCACTTGGGCCATCTTCTACTGCTTTCCCAGGCCATAGCAGAGAGCTGGATTGAAAGAGGAGCAGCTGGGACTGGAACTGGCACCCAAAAGGGATGCCGGCACTGCAGGCGGAGGTTTGGAGGATTAACCTACTGCGCCACGGCGCCGGCCCCAACTGACAGTTTCTATCCAAGGGTAACAAATGCAGTGATCCATACTGAGTAAAGAATATCCATTGTAGTTATGTGCTCCAATTCTCTAAAATCCTGTCATCCTATCTATAATAACGTCCTTTACCCCGGGTTAATAGAACTGACATATTAAAAGAACTGAAGACAAAAGAACTGACGTGCCATGCGGAGAATCTAAAAAGCAAATCATCCAAAAGTGAAACGGTGGCAAAGGCCACCCTACAAAATACTCCCTCCTCCTTTCCCAAAGAGAAAATTGCAAGGAGTTAAAGCATAAATTAAAGCCAGGGTGGGCAACAGATCACTATGGGCAGGGGCCAAATGCTTCACCCGATTATGAACCTTGACAGTTAGGTTCTCCCAGTGGAGTAAAAAGAGAACAGAAGAGTATAATAAAGATATGACGAGGTCAAAAAAGCTTCCTTTTTTAAAGAAATTTATTCAAGAGGTAGAGAGACAAATGCCCACGGCAGCCAGGACTACACTGGGCTTGGAGCCAGAACTCAATCCAAGCGGCCCACGTGGGTGGCAGGTACCCAGCTACCTGAGCCATCACCCGCTGCCTCCAGGGTGCTCAGGCAGGAAGCCAGAGGCAGGAAAGGAGCCCAGGCACCCGGAGCGTGGGGTCCCAACTGCTAGGCAGGCTAACAGGGGCCGCCCAAGAAATCGTTCCGTAGGGACGAAGTTTTGGCTGCTCTAGGGCTGTGACAACCTTCCAGGCTGGGCACACATCGCACCTGGTGAACAATCATCCCGGTCTGAGTTCCCTGGGGCCGCCTGAGAGGGGAGACGCACAGGCTGAGAAGGCTCCGGGTTTTCGAAACCAGGGCAAACACGGGGCACGAGAGCGACCAAGGGGGGCGTGCTCTGTGGCACAGTGTCCTGGCGCAGGGCCAGCTAGAACTTCTGAGAACCTCAGCGCCAACACTCGAGTCTGTCCACTCCCGACTCCGTCCTGAGCACAGGGAAACGAGGGGGCGGCAACCCGCGGACAGTGGCCAGGTGTGCTAACGCCCCCCGCCCTACTGACGTCGCCACCGAGCCGGGCCTGGGGTTCGGGATGATGACCCCAGCAGCACCAGGGGCCGCACCTTCCTCCCTCGGGTTTCCTTCCCGTCCTTCAGTCCAAGCCAGATCAGCTCACCCTGGGCTCTTGACGGCCTCTGCAGCTTTTCGACTAACGGCACGAAGCACCGTTTCTCACCAACCAAACTCACACGTTAACTGTGGCCACCCCGGAAGTACGTCACCCATTGATCGGCCAATCCACTCTTCTCCCTCCTACCTTGCCCCCGCGCCCTCCCCCAGCCCCGGAATTCTCTAGGATCTTGGAGGACCCCACGTCTTGGTGGTTGCTTCCTTCCAGTTCCCGTGAGACCCGAGGGACAGGGCAGGCAAGTGAGACTGGCATGCGTGTGCCTCCCGGAACCTCGTCCTGAGGTGAGCAGCCTGATCCGGGCACACTGACCTCGGAAAGGAGGCAGGGCCATTTGTCCTACTGAATAACCAGTGAGGGCCGGGGCCCAACTGGACCAGGGAGCAGCAGAGCCCGCCTAGGACTCCCGCCCCTTGGCAGCCCCAGCTGGCTTCCTGCTCACACAGGCCCAAGTCCTGCAGGGCTGTTCTCCCACCTGCTTGTTGGTCCCTCCCTTGGAGGCCCAGAAAAGGAATCTGGAGATGCGTACTGGGCTGGGCTCATTACGAGCATCGCTGCCTCCCAAGACCAAGACATCTTAAGGGGCCTTGAATGAAGTGGGGGCCTTAGGATGAGTCAAAGTCAAGAAACAGACTTGGCGATTGTGTTGTAGGCTCCCAAGATCCTTAGAGTGTCAGAGAGATGGTGCTTTCCCATGCTGCTTAGGAGCGCGGTCAGGAGAGGGCGGAGGTGAAGCCAGGCCCCTCCTGGAAGGGTGGCAGGGCCCAGAGGAGAGCACAGCCCTCAGCCCGAGATCCTGAAGCCAACATCTGTCCAGGATCCACTTGGAACACAGGTCACCTCTTCTCAGGGGTAATTTTGTCTTAGGTCCTTAGCGGTAGGATATTTTTTTTAAGGAGGAATTGCACTGATCTCTCCCAAAAGAAAATAAAATACAGGAGACCACGGATTAGGATCTCCATGCCTGCTCTGGGGAAACTGGAGTCATAGCAAGGTAGCTGAGTAGGTATACAAAGGGGAAATCGACCTTTGCCTCAGAGATGAATAGAATGTTCCAGTAGGAGTACAATGTTTTAGAACAGCAATTTAGTTTCAGCAAAACGTTGGTGTTCCTAACATTAAGTTAATGCAATGTGAATATTACTGTATCTAAAGTTCCTGTCGTTAGCTTGGCTAAACGGTGAATAACCCATGAAACTACATCTGACGTCTGGCCATGGGTAAGACAAATCCTGTGACTGTAAAAGGCCTTTAAGAACTGCTGCCACCCTTCAAAGTGCTCTGATCCAGATTCCTCACTTGCTGCTGGGTCACGCTTCCCAGGAATGTTAAGTCCCCTCTCCAATTTCTCTCTCTCCTAGGACTTCTCCTACCCTCTTCCCCTTCTACGTGGCAGCCTCACAGCCTTTGGAAAATCCTTCTGTAACAAACTCCCCCTCATGCAATCCTGTGCCTAATAAGGCTTGCTGTGCAATACTGCCACCTCATGGTCCCGTCTTTTCCCTCAAATGCCCCGGAAGCCATCAAACACTGCTGTGTTGAAATACAGATCTTGCCTCTTCAGTTCCCTAATACCATTTATTTAACGCTGGTTACATGTGATACTACAGCATCATGCCACCCATGAATGCTGGCTTCTAATGATTCCCTCAAGGTTCCAATGACTACAAATACA